CCATATTTCCATCCCCCACCACTACCAAAAAAAGCCAGAGCATGGATGTTCTTTAGTGGGCTCTTCAGCAGCTTTCAGTGGGCTCTTTGTTTTGTGCAATAGGTATTGGAGGTGTTTGAACATGAACATGATTTCTATAGGGATTATGTTAGATTATAATTGTGGTGGCATTGTATCTGGGGTTTGGGGGGAGTGTGGTGACAGCACATCCATGATGTGCCTGCGCACACCAGCGTGGCTTGGTTGTCATGGCTTTGAAGCAAGATTGCTTCCTTTGGCCTTATGTCTGTGGTATGACCTCCACACAACCTCACCACTGACAACTAGGAGCATTGTGTCCCCCTGCCACTCTAGGAATAACCAGTAGGATTGTGTCACGTAGTCAACATGTGGCTGAAATGACAATTTCACATTCTACAAACACCTACTGTATACTACCGGTATACAGTATATTCCACGCCAGGCTCAGCTGTTTCTTAGTTGACCTTTAGACAAACTCGACAGTGCTTGTTTTGGCCATAGTTAGACCTATTAAAGGAAGGTAGAGGGTTAATGTGGTAGAGGTTCTGCATATTAAATTCCTTCAGTTTGTTAGTGTAAAGGTTTTTCTTCTTTCTTCTTTATTTTGGACTGGTTTTACTGAGAAACAAGGTGTGGTGCAGCTGTGCTGTAATGACACTGAGATGTTCTGAAGTAGTAAATGCACCAGAAGCTTGGGAACTGCAGCATCTCTGATATTAAATGCACCTGTGCACTTGGGGGTGTGAGTACAAAAACTGAAGGCAAGATCTTTGATGAGTTTTGCCACTGTACAACATCACCATGAACACTGATGAGCCACTCAACTTTGTTTTGTGAGTCCCATCTTTGAATAAAAGTTGGAACTGAGAACTATGGCAAGGCAGCACGGTGGCATAGTTGGTAGAGCTGCTGTCTCTCAGCGAGCAGGTCGCCCTGGTTCAAATCCCAGCCGGAGACTTTTCAGGGTGGAGTTTGTATGTTCTCTCTGTGCATGTGTGGGTTTTGTCCGGGTACTCCAGTTTCCATCCACAGACCTAAAACATGCATGTTAGACTGATTGGTAACTCCAAATTGTCCCGAGGTGTGAGTGAGCGAGTGAATGGTTATTTGTCTTGTTTGTCTCTGTGATGGACTGGAGACCTGTCCAGGGTGTACCCTGCCTCTCACACAGTGATAGCTGGACATGGGCACCAGTGACCCCAGCGAACCTAATAGGAAGAAGCGGATAATGATTATGGATGGAAAACTATAACTTGACCCAGCCCTATCCCAAGGCCATGGATGGGGATTACAGGGTATAGAGCACAGCTTTTAATGGTGTGTGGCCGAACCAAAGGCACAGCAGGAAAGCTAGCCACATTGTTTTTCTTGTCTGAAAGCCAGTCCAAGCCATAATATTTTACATTTTAGGGGTTTTCTTTCCTTTCTTAGATTGTTCAGTCTTGAGTATGCTTTTCCAAGGTCACTGAAAAAACCTAGTACAGATATAATACCTACAGTTGTAATGTTGTAGTAACTTTGCATCATATTCTAAAAAAGTTAAATCTGGTCCTCTGGACATTCAAAAAACCAAAATAAAGCAAAACAACAAAAAAATGTAGAAACGTTTCGTCTCTCATCCGAGAGACTTCCTCAGTCTGAGGTGCTGTATTCAGCTCAGTCTCTTAAATAGCACCTTCTCGGCACCTTCTCAAAGTTAAATCTGGTCCAGAGTTGTTTCTAACTGCATCCTAAACCTGTCCCAGAGAGTCATGCCAAGTCAAAGACTGCATCATGATGCAGTCATGGACACATGTGGTAGGATTATTATGGAAACGTGCTGCTGATGTTATACAGCATGGTGAGGGCCAGAAGAACATCTAAGGAATGTAAAATTAGCAGAGAAACATTTTTGGCCAGCAGCATCACATTAAAGGTTTTGTATTATTTTGTGATACAACCACATTATAATATGTTGTGTAGATTGTAAAAAAGCTTTGTGGGGTTGTTATCCAGTGTGAAAGGAACCTGGGCTGTGAATATTGCCAACTAGCAGGCTAACAGCAATGGATTTTCCAAAATGTCTGAGTGATGCCTGCATGGGTTAATATCCTTATTTGAATTGCAGGTTTACAGTCAGGTAATTAGATTTTTGATATAAAAAACTGCAACATATTTTCTCTGGGCAGCATGATGGCACAGTTGGTGGAGCTATCACCTCTCAGAGAGAAGGTTGCCCCCATTCTAATCCCGGTCCAGGGGCCTTTCTGGGTGGAGTTTGCATGTTCTCTCCGTGCATGTGTAAATGAACATATATCTATGAGATATTATTCATAAATTAAACGGATTCTTTCATTTTTCTGGACTGAATAATATCGTGCATTGAATAATTAAATGTGACGTGAGACGTTAATTTTCTTTGACCCATCAAAATGAATGCGGTCATTTATTAACAGAATCAAAGTTTAACATCAAACATTCACATTAATTTGGCAAAATGATTACAATAACGCATAGTTTAATTAGCAAGCTTTACAATCAGAAACCATACGGCCATGGTATCTGGGTCAGCTTTACAACAGACATTTCTGAAAATATCTGTATGATTACTGGCAGATAGAAGAGTTTTAAAGATGGGAAATGAAGTTTAAATGGAGAGGGAAAGATGAGGGAATTTGTCTGTTATAACCAGAACAACACGCTCCTTTGGACCCAGCTTATCCCACGGTACACTTCGCAGTTGAAAATCGACTCTTTACCTTGCAGACGATAGTTCGGCCTCGGTGTAGAGTTCTCTTTCAACGCTTTCCAGCGTCTCCGTAAGGATAGCAGAGAACCGTTCGGAGTAGTGACGGTACTTCGTTCGACAGCAGCTCACCTCTGAGTGGGCTCGCATGAGCTGTGAGTCCGTCAGAGGTTCCACTCAGATGTGGAAGATTCCAGAATCCCCACGAGACTCAGAACTTTGTTCTGCGTTCCGAACTGCATTCTCCGTTCTACATTCCAGCATTCTCATTCTCGCATTCTGCTGCTCTCTACATTCTACATTCTCCTTGGAACTAGGAAGTGTTGAACCTTTTAAAGAGGTCACTTCCGGTTCCTCTGAGAACTTCCTGATTGGTCGATAGACCCAACAGGGGTGTGGTCTTAGTGATGTAAGAGGTTATTAAAAGTCAAGGAAAAAGATTAGATTGTTTAAGAACAGACAGAAAGATGTTTTGAAGAAACAGAGACTTTTGGAGCCAGTTACCTTATATCTGTCTGAAAAAGTTAAACATGACATTTCTTTCCAGTAAACATGTAATTGACCGAAACTTGACTTTTGACCGACTTACAACTTGCTCATTTCAGACAGAAGATCAAAATGCATAATTACTCTTGTAACAAACATTAACTTGATTTCTACTTTGAATGAGGATTAAAAATCATTTATACTGTTTCACAGTTGATTTAAAATGAGTAGTTCACTTCAACATTTAAAATGGTTTGAACTAAACACACTTTTGATTATCAAGACATTTGTAAAATAGTAATGATAATAAAAAAGAGAGTGTTCTTTCAATTGATCAGTGCAGGACACTTAGAAAGTCTCTGGATGAACTTAATTTTGTGTTTCTGGACTCAAATCAATGAAATGACAGTTCTTGTCCCAGGAAGGCCCTCAGGGCCAGATTTGACCTGAGGCTTAGTTCACTACACATGCGTGGGTTTTCACCAGTTTCCTCCCACAGACCAAAAACATGCATGTTAGACTGATTGGTAACTCTAAATTGTCCCTAGCTGTGAGTGAGAGTGAATGGTTGTTTGTCTCGTTTGTCTCTATGTGTCCCTGTGATGGACTGGAGACCTGTCCATGGTGTCCCCCGCCTCTTGCACAGTGATAGCTGGACATGGACACCAGTGACCCCTGCGACCCGACAAGGAAGAAGCGGGTAAAAATAATAGATGGATGGATGTTTTCTCTGCATCTCCAACCCACCTCAAGAGTGCAAGTGATGTACTTTGACACATGCATTGAAACTCTCCTTTGAAAATAAAACTGTCTGCAAAATGTAGCTGCCCATTTCACTATAACTGAACATTTGTCTATTTTATCACAATATTGTGTCAAGTTTGTGTCATCAACTAATCAACAGTTGATGTTCACTGCAATACTACCTTAAAGGATAGCTCAGAATAAGCCAAGTCATGCAAATGTTAGGCTTGTTCAAAAAGAAATGTTTTAGGCCTAGTCTTGATGGAAATGTTTTTATTTGTTTCCAGAATCTAAACAGATAGCTTATTTTACAAAGACAAGCATGATCTGAATGCTCCGTTTCCCATTCTACTTCGGGGAATGTGTATTTACAATTCATACCCATCTGTCTTCAAGGTGCTGATAGATATTATGACAAAGTAAAGGAAATGATTGGCTACTACCCTTCAGCCTATATGAAATACTGTTGGAAATTCTTCACACCGCTTGTCTGTGTCGTAAGTATTTATACAATTTATAGTTCAATACACTATATCATTAGTAAAATCCAAAAGGCTTGGGTAAGACTGACTTAAAAATATAGAAAAAGGCATGTTGAACAAAATCTTTTCCCACATGTGAGAATCTCTCTCTTCTTTTTGAACAGGGAATATTGATCTTCTCCCTGGTTATGTTCAACCCTCTGAAATATAACAAAACCTATGAATATCCCCCATGGGGTTATGCCATTGGAATATTTCTTGCTTTGTCTTCAGCTGTTATTACTCCTCTCATTGGTCTGTTTTTCATAGCTAAAACTCAAGGAACAATAAAACAGGTATGTACTGTACAATATGATACACTTGACTTGAGTTCACAAAAAACATTTTTATGTACCACACTGAGAAAGTTTTCTATCAAATTTAGTCGTAAAATTTCCAAGATCTGTACTTGGCACTGTGGATATGTACTATTTGTGCCTTTTTGTTGATTTATTCTTCACATGAGCAGAATGCTTTTGATATGACTGACACATCTAATGTTGTAAAGTTTTTGCTTTTAATATTTCTTCTGGTCTTTTTTGCAGAGGCTGAAAACCTTGTGCACTCCAGCAGCTGACCTGCTTAGTCAGTCACCCAGGAAGACCACTTACCCTGAAGTAGCTCTTTTAGATACAGTATCAAGCAGTGTGAACTTGCCTGAAAACCAGAAAAGAGACACTTAAGGTAGAGTACTTGCTGTACTTTACTTAGATCTACCATTTATTTTTAAATTATCTAGTGAAGAACTGACATGAAATGTTTATGTTCGATATTCAAATGACAAAAGTATCTAGCACGTTTATTTTATTATTTTGCCCATCTGGTACACTACAGTGAGATAATACTCTAATAAATAGATTGCTTAGTGGGAACTTTGTCAAAGTAGTTTTGTTAGAAACTGTGTATTTGCCTAGCATAACTCTTTGGACTATAATGTTTGCAGATGACACTGATCTGTAGTGTGAGGAGAGAGCAGGTGGAAGAGAGCCAGGAGAGGGGGAGTTATGCTCTGAAGGAAAGACAAATTAGTTTAGTAAAAGGAAGACTAACACCATGCATGTGAAAGAGAGGGAGACATATGGATTAATGAAGCTACATGGAGTGGAGGAAATAACTAGCTAACTTTTTTAAAAATTGTATGCAAGGGGAGGTGAGAGGTAAGGATATTACTCTTAAAACAATAACAACTTGGTCACAATCAATTGGTCATGGTCATAATTTTATTATGATCATGACCAATTGTACAGGTACGTACAAATGTACATTTGTTTGGTTGTTTATTATTTGTTCAACCCCTTGCTTTAAACTTTCAGTAACATTTATACTGCTTATGTCACATGTCACAGACCAGGGTTTTGGAGTCAAAATAAGCCAGACACAGGAGTGCAAAAATTAACAGCTTTTATTAATAAGGCTTCTGGGAGCTGCAGATGGAGGCCTTTAATGCTATGGACAGTGGGGCAATGAAAGTTTGTGGTCCAAAGGGCAATCCAAAAGGGTGATCCGTGAGTCGATGTCATAGACTGAAGAGGAGGTCGTTACCATGGTCAGAGAGGCAGAACAGATGAGGAGCAGGCAAAAAACGGGAAATCCAGAAGGCAGGCATGAGGTCAATAATCCGGAGAGCAAGGCTCGAGGTCTAAGCATGAAACCGTGAAGGCTTGAAAATCAGAGACCATGGAAGGTGTAATAATCTCGCACTGGTGGGGAGGGAGAATGGATCTTATAAAGGGTGCAGAGCAGGTGAACCAGGTGAGCTGAACAGGTGAGTGGAATCAGGGCTGATTGCTGTGATGGGCTGAGGGGGAAGTGAGCAGATGGGGGCCAGCAGGGGCCGCTGATCATGACAGCTTAGGTGAAGCATCTAAAATACACTCTTGTATGACAACAGCTTCATGCACTTGAAACTCACCACAATCAGTTTGCACAGAAGCAGTTTTCATTTTCTCATCCCTGACACTAATAAATGTGTTTGGCTGGATCATTCTTCAATCAAAATAACAGACCAATGTGTGAAATTGAAGTCACTGTATCAGTGTTTGTTTTCTCCCTGAGGGGAACATGGCTACAGTACTGATATTATAGGTTTGTTTAAGCAATAAAGTATAGCTATATTTACAAAAAGTAGTTAATGAACAAGCAAGGTCAACTAAAGGGGTTTGTGATGTGTTAAAATGAGACATTGAAGCATAAACATGTTTGAAAAAGTTTAGAAATAAACCAATATAAGGAAACAAACTTTACTATGAAAAACATTCTTTGGGAACAAAATATGAGCAATTATGACTGAAATCATGTTAAACTAGGCCATTAATTACTTCAGTTTTGGCAAGAGAAAAAGTTTCCAAAAAGAGATAAGTTCCTAGATCTGGTTTTGAAGGCTCGCCATCTAATTCTGAGAGAGGCTTTGGCATCAGGAGAAACTATTATCAAAAAAACTTGATCTGTTGGCAGACAGGGTCAGAATAAGTGAGAATATTGGTAGAAAGATGTTTGAAATGCAGCTGCCAGGAAAACGACAAAGAGGAGATAAACTGTATGGATGCGGTTAGGAGGACATGGAGGTAGTTAAGGACAGAAGGTGCAGAGGACAGATTGAGACAGAGTGAGGACAGAGTGAGATGGAGGATGGCATCCATGATGATGTCACCGAGAATGTCAGTGACTCATCCACACCACAGTGATGATGACTTGTGGTGGTGACCCCTGAAGAGAAAAAAAAAAAGGAATAACCAAAAGAAGAAGTTCGACGTTTATCACAGTTTTTTATTTATTATTATTTATTAACATTTATTTAACCACGCAAATCCCATTGAGGTCACAGATCTTTTTTGCAAGGGAGGCCTGAAGGCAGCCTAACATGCATGTTTTTGATCTGTGGGAGGAAACCGGAGTGCCCGGAAAAAACCCACGCATGCACGGAGAGAACATGCAAACTCCACCCAGAAAGACCCAGGGATTGAACCCAGGACCTTCTTGCTGTGAGGCAACAGTGCTAACCACTGAGCCATCGTGCTGCCATTTAAATAAGTGATTTGTCTTCATTGTGTGTTAATATTGTGATAGCTGGTTTTCAAAGATCATTGGTTAGAGCTACACCCCTGATGTCTGCTCTGTAGGTGTCAAATCTGTTCCAGATTTACACAAGCTGACAATTTAGTCTAATATTAAGACAGTTTTTAGTTCCTGGCTTTCAGTTGGTCTCTCTTAGACATTTATTAACAGTTGCTACTAAGCTAGCTCCTGTAGCAGCCAACATAATGTGTGAGTAATTTTTATTGTCCTCAACAGTTTATTAAAATCAAGGCTAAGGTACAGGCTATGGTTTTACTGGAGAAGCCAGTTGTTGCAGGTTGGCTGAAAACGTGAAACTCTCTGAGCTGATTAAGAGCAGTAAAATTCATATAGAGACAATATGACAGATTTATTGTGCACAACTCCCATGTTACCTGAGCAGGTGTTGTAGAGAACCTTTTCATGCTGTTCCAGTAATGCTCCTTGACTGATTGCAGAATGGAATTTGAATAAAACGCTAAATCCACATATGATGAATCAACCATGTCCATTATGGGAACTGGAAAATGTCACTCATAAACAGAAAATATGATGAAAAGATGCAAAAAGACACCTAAAATAGAGTATTTCAGTTGGGCAGACATGCTGTGTCCAGCTTGGACATCGACAGTGGTGGGATGTAACTCAGTACAAAGACTTCGTTACTGTACTTAAGTACATTTTTCATGTATTTGTACTTTACTTAAAGTACAATGTGGGTACTTTATACTTTTACTCCACTACATTTTACATCAAGTATCTGTACAAACCGGATTCCAAAAAAGTTGGGACACTAAACAAATTGTGAATAAAAACTGAATGCAATGATGTGGAGGTGCCAACATCTAATATTTTATTCAGAATAGAACACAAATCACAGATCAAAAGTTTAAACTGAGAGAATGTATCATTTTAAGGGAAAAATATGTTGTTTCCAAATTTCATGGCATCAACAAATCCTAAAAAAGTTAGGACAAGTCCATTTTTACCACTGTGTAGCATCCCCCCTTCTTCTTACAACACTCAACAGACGTCTGGGGACAGAGGAGACCAGTTTCTCAAGTTTAGAAATAGGAATGCTCTCCCATTCATGTCTAATACAGGCCTCTAACTGTTCAATCGTCTTGGGCCTTCTTTGTCGCACCTTCCTCTTTATGATGCGCCAAATGTTCTCTATAGGTGAAAGATCTGGACTGCAGGCTGGCCATTTCAGTACCCGGATCCTTCTCCTACGTAGCCATGATGTTGTGATTGCTGCAGAATGTGGTCTGGCATTATCGTGTTGAAAAATGCAGGGTCTTCCCTGAAAGAGATGACGTCTAGATGGGAGCATATGTTGTTCTAGAACCTGAACATAGTTCTCTTCATTAATGGTGCCTTTCCAGACATGCAAGCTGCCCATGCCACAAGCGCTCATGCAACCCCATACCATCAGTGATGCAGGCTTCTGAACGGAGCGTTGATAACAACTTGGGCTATCCTTGTCCTCTCTGGTCCGGATGACATGGCGTCCCATTGTTCCATAAAGAACTTCAAATAGTGACTCATCTGACCACAGAACAGTCTTCCATTTTGCCACACTCCATTTTAAATGACCCCTGGCCCAGTGCAAACGTCTGAGCTTGTGGAGCTTGCTTAGAAATTGCTTCCTCTTTGCACTGTAGAGTTTCAGCTGGCAATGGCGGATGGCACGGTGGATTGTGTTCACTGACAATGCTTTCTGGAAGTATTCCTGAGCCCATTCTGTTATTTCCTTGACAGTGGCATTCCTGTTTGAGGTGCAGTGACGTTTAAGGGCCCGGAGATCACGAGCATCCAGTAGAGTTTTACGGCCTTGAACCTTACGCACAGCGATTGTTCCAGATTCTCTGAATCTTTTGATGATGTTATGCACGGTTGATGATGATAACTTAAAAGTCTTTGCTATTTTACGCTGGATAACACCATTCTGGTATTGCTAAACTATCTTTCTGCGCAACAATGGTGGAATTGGTGATCCTCTTACCATCTTGGCTTCTGAGAGACACTGACACTCTGAGAAGCTCTTTTTATACCCAATCATGTTGTCAATTGACCTAATTAGTGTTAACTGGTCTTCCAGCTGTTCGTTATATGCTCAGTTTCCTTTTTCCAGCCACTTATTGCAACTTGTCCCAACTTTTTTGGGATTTGTTGACACTGTGAAATTTTGAATCAACATATTTTTACTTTAAAATGTTACATTTACTCAGATTAAACTTTTGATCTGTCATCTATGTTATATTACAAATAAAGTATTGACATTTGCCATCTCCACATCATTGCATTCAGTTTTTATTCATAATTTGTTTAGTGTCCCAACTTTTTTGGAATCCGGTTTGTACTTTCTACTACACTACATTTCTATAACACATTGCATTACAAGTTACATTCATGTTGTGGCTTTTTGATTTGTTTGTTACTTTGACAGTAACCAATGGTGAGAGAGGAGTTGGTCCATTGAATCACTGCAAAGTGGGCAGGTAACGTTAGACCTGCCTTCAAGAAGAGCTGGGCCAATGATGTATATACTAGTATATATGTCACTGAGCTGGGTGCACCTGCAGCACCGCTAACACACCCAAAATGTATTCCACCGCAAAAGAGTCAGCCAGAAAATATGCTCCACAGATGGCCTTATTGAAAGACTATTGAAAGAGTATTGAAAGATTATTGAAAGACTGCTCAGTACAACAGGACAGTTTCTCTCTCCCAAAAGAGCCAGATTGAACTAAAAAATCTGTGAAAACCAACTTCTTCTGAACTTGAACAAGAAATTCTTGCTGCAATATTAAAATGTGTCAGTTCATGATGTTAGGAGACAAGACATGTCTCCAAATGTCTCGGCACTCAGGTCCAAGTTTTAAAAATGGTGCCAGAAAGTTAAAATATTGTTCAATATTGACCCATTACAAAGTTGAATAGACATTATTTTAACTAGAGTTGAAGACAAACTGGAGTTGAAATGATCAGAGTCTGTTCCTTTGTTAGTTGTGTCTAATGCTCCTTTTGTTCAGGCAGACAACTTTTACTTAAATGTGTTTACTTCAGTTAAAATGACACATTGGTTTTGCTTTGTGTTAAATAAAAACTTTCAAAGGTATAATCATTCCTTTTATTTTGCTTAATGGCATTTAACTCTGCAGGTCATCCCTGAAATTCTGATGCACAGAATCACAAGTCCAAGTGTGAACTGTGTCACAGAGTAAACACAATAAAAACATGTATTATCTGCAGCATCGTTCATTAAAATGCAACACTATTAATGTATTACAGAAAATATACATATGGTATGCAGACTTAAAGATATGTAGACTATTACATTAGGTAATACATTCAGCAAGTACTTTTACTTTTAATACTTTAAGTATTTTAAAATCAAGTACTTATTTACTTTTACTTAAGTAAAATGTTAATTTGGTACTTCTACTTTTACTAGAGTACATTTTTGTCTGTGTATTTGTACTTTTACTTAAGTACAGTGTTTGAGTACTTTCTCCACCACTGCCCATTGATTTTTAATCTTGTGTTTGCACCCACTAGTCTTTTGAAATACATTTATAAATAAGTCATAACTTTTTACTTGTAATTTTTTTTGCAATCATCCTGCTTCCAAAAACTTTTTCAGCAATATCTTTGAAAACTCATTGCTGCTAAAGTGTCAATAATATTGACAGTAACAGTAATATTTAAAAGTATAGTAAAGTCAAAGCATTATAAAGTAATAATTGTTTCTGTCTTAATTTTACAGAAGCAGATGTGTGTTCTGCACTGCAGCTGCTACAAAAGGAGAAGAAATGCTGGGCCAATGTTACAATTTATTTGTGATTGTAAACAAATTGTATTTGAAGCATGATACTGATATACAATATGTCACTTGCACATTCCTGCAGACCTACAATCTCCTCAAAACAAGCAACAGAACTCATGAAACTATGAGCGTAAAGGAACTGCTGTTAATGCCTCTCAGTGTGTGTGTGTGTGTGTGTGTGTGTGTGTGTGTGTGTGTGTGTG